CTACCATGGGCCAGGCACCGTTTCCTAACAGTGAACAAGGCAGGCACGGTTTCTTATGGAATGACAATAAGTACATAAAAAAGAGAACTTTTACTGGGATTAATACTATGAAGTAAACAAAGCGGGACAATGTGACAGAGGGATGAGGACATTAGCTGGAGAAGCGCTAGTAGTCAGGCCTTTGTAAGGAGGTAACATTTGAGCTCAAAGAACAAAAAGGATCTGGTTATGTTTAGATCAGGAGTAAAGAGTCCCAAGCACAGAACAGCAAGTACAAAGGCTCTGAGATATTAATCAGCTGGTTTTTTGTTTGTTTGTTTGTTTGTTTTGTTTTGTTTTAAGGCAGCAGGTGTGGCTGGCATTGAGTAAACTAAGGGAAAAGAGGAGAAGAGGTCAAAGAAGCAGGTCAGGGCTGGAATATGCAGGCTACACTAAGTTTGGACTCTATTTTAACAGCATAGAAAACCACTGGAGGACTTTAAGTGTGAAGAATCTAAATTACATTAGAAAATTTACATTGATTGTTAAGTGGTAAAGAAATTGCAGGTGCTCTTGAACTTCCTTCCACACGCAGATAGGTTAGGAGACCATGCAATGGGGGGCTGGACAGCACGGTGGCAGTGAAGATGGACAGAAATAAACAGACAGGTGATAAATTTCAAAGACATGGCTGGTAGGACGTGCTATTGAACAGAGGAAGTAGGGTGTGGGAAAGAGGAATCAAAGAAGTCTCCTGGGGATTTCACTTGAGCAAATTTGCTAAAATGGGGAAAGAGTAGGAAATATCGACTATTTTGGACTAAGAAAGTTTTAGATGCCTATTACATATCCAACCAGAAAAGTAGCACACAGCAGGCACTTGCTGTATTCTTTTAAAAACTACCACTTTGAGGATAGACTCATCTATAAATCAAACATAATACAGCATTCCAAATTTGACTAACTCGATTTGCTGCTTCCAAGGTAACAGAGAAAACCAGAAAATGATAAGTGATTGAAATGACCAGAGATCTCAGTTCATTTGATGAAATGTCATTTTTGCTACTATTGATGCTCCTTGACCCATATTTTTAATACAAAGGTGCCGCATTTTATGTCAGAAATTTTAGACAAATGCTGTCAACTCAATTCAGGTATTTGCTCCACTTCTCTAGGCTTTATAAACCCTGGGGTGATTAGTGTCAAGAGTGGTAAGCAATGACTCACCAAATCACTTTTATAAAGATAGTGAAATGCTATACGTAAGCCAAAGGTGCTGCTTTTGGCAATGATACGTATTTTAATCCATTTCATCTTTTCTAAAATTAAAATTTACTGAGATATGATTTACATACAGTAAAACTTATCCTCTTTAGTATACAGGTCTGAGTTTTGACAAACACATACAGTCAACTAACCACCATCACTACGATCAAGATATAGGACAGTTTTTCACCCAAAAAAACTTCCTTTAAGTCCTTTTGTAGTCAGTCCCTCTCCCATCCCCAGATGCTGGCAACTACTGACCTGTTTTTGGTTCCATTATCTTTTCAAACTCAACAACAGTCTTATGAACTTATGATGTCTATTCACAGATGCCTGGCAAAACCCTATTTCCTAAAAAATATGATGTGTGAAATATTAGAACCACCAAAAAGTATTTGATGACATTGTAAAAGAAGAAACCATCCTTTCTAATTATTGATAGAGATTAGACTGAGGTCTCCAAAGGAGTTTATAAACTTTTCTCTAAGATAAGCTTTTCACTTAAGAATTGGCTTGGATGAAACAAGCATGAATTTTAATATACACTCAATAAATATATACTTTTAATGAATTTTAATATACACTCTGTAACAGGAAGGTGGTAAATATAAACTTTTTATTTTCCAAGTCAATCTCATTTGTAGAATTCTGTAATTATACTTCTTTAATGGTATTATTTCCCTATTTTTATTATCCATTTTGTTTTTTAAATATCTTGACAAATATACATGCCATTTAATTTTGAAATATATGCTATTATTATTCAATTACATCAGTGTTAAATCTGCTGTGAAAGCAGGTACTTGAGTTGCTGGGATTTCTTTTCATTTTATACTACTATTTAGGGGGAGTGATATTTCATGTAATTTATTTTAAAAAGTAATGTATCAACTGATTTTTAATTGGTCTGAATAAATGAACACAGCGTCCACGGTGTGAGCCAGAAATGGTGGCATACAGTTCAGTGGTTAAGGCCTTGGGCTTTGGAATCAGTAAGGCCTGGCTTCCAGTCCTAGCTCCATTATTTTTTGGTTGTGCGAACTTTGGGCAAAACCTCCTGCCTCAGCGCCTCAGTTTCCTCATCCACTAAATGTGAATAACAGCACTACCTCTCTCATACGGCAGGAATGCGAGCTCTCAGGACCGCATCTGGCATGTGTAAGTTCTCAATAAACAGTACCTATTATATACCAGATGGAATTTCCATTTGAAAAACATTAAAATGTTCTATTATTCAGCACTCATTCTGGAACAATAAGGAAAGTGCCTGTGTTTATATTTTATGGTGGCAGAGTGAGGTACGGAGACAGCTGAGTGGCGCAGACGACTCAGGTGCACACACTTTCAAGCAGAGCAGGAAGGCACCTGGCCGTTCGGATAACTCTAGTGATTTAAGGTATGATGCTGCCATCCCTTCTAAGAGTGGATTTTTCTTTCACTTTTCTTTCTTTTTTTTTTGTAACAAGTAAAGAAGGAATAGTGCTTGGTGATGGAAGTCATAAGAAAGCCAAGGATGACTACAGGAGTGATCTACATACATGTTGTAGTAAAAAAGGCCTCTGAACCATTAACTTTTCTCTGTAAAGAGAAGGGGACTTCATTAAGTGCAAATTCATTTTGTGAGGCCAACTGTATCAGAACAGCTTATCGGATAATGCTCAGGTTTGAAATAATTTTTTTAAATAACTCAGTTCAAAATGGAAATAAGTATTTCACACCCCTTACCCGTTTTCACTCTTATTCCTTTAGAAACATCATAATAGTTTTTTCTTCCACTTTTTACGAGCAAATTTATAGCACTCATAAAATTTTAGACTAAGCCAGAAGGAAACTGAGAGGATATCTAGTACAATCCTTTTTTTAAGGTAAAGGATGAGACCCAGAAGGGAACTGACTAAAACGAAATAAAAGCCAAAGTGGGCCTGGGACCAAGTGTCCTAATGCCCTACCGGTTACTCTTTCCACTGTGAGGGTATCAAATACTTCGGCTAGGCAGTCACCAGAGCTCCCCTATCTGTGACAGACATCATCCACCAGTCACTCCGTCCTTCTGAGCCTTAACCCTTCAGAGTCCTAAACCACACACAAGCTAGCTGTTGCCAGTGACGGTGGCCATGCCTCTAGTGATGCAGTAAATGTAAATCCCAAATTTCCTACTTAAAATGTCAAGACCTTTTTTCTCCTTTCCATTCTGTCTTTTGAATTTTAGAAATAAATAAACTTTTCTGGGGTGCCTGGGTGGCTCAGTCGTTAAGCGTCCGCCTTTGGTTCAGGTCATGATCCCAGGGTCCTGGGATCGAGCCCTGCATCGGGCTCCCTGCTTGGCGGGAAGCCTGCTTCTCCCTCTCCCACTCCCCCTGCTTGTGTTCCTGCTCTCACTATCTGTCAAATAAATAAAATCTTTAAAAAAAATTTCAAAAAAATAAACTTTTCTGGGCAACAATGATCTTTTAGGGAAATAACTAAATCTACACACTAAAAATGTGGTGGGAGATTGTGAAATAAATTCATTTTGTCAAAAATTTAAAGATAAATATAAGCAAAATTTATCTGTGGTGACAGAAATCAGAAAGTGGCTGCTCAGGGCCAGGGGTTGACTAAGAAGCAGCAGGAGAAAACTTTCTGGGGTGACAGAATTGTTCTGTATCTTGATAGAGATATGGTCAAACTATACACTTAAGATCTGCTCATCTCTTGGGCGCCTGGCTGGCTCAGCTGGGAGAGCATGTGACTCTTTATCTCAGGGTTGTGAGTTCAAGCCCCACACTGGGTATAGAGATTACTTAAATAAAATTTAGGAAAAAAAGATCTGTGCATCTCACCGTTTGTAAATTGAATCATTTAAAAACAATCTAACTTACTCATGTAGTATCATTTAGATACTACATTCATATAAAATTCTCATGCAAAGAACAGACTTGGACTGTAATCCAGCTTACGAAGGGCATGACCAAACTCATAGAGACCTTTCAAAATCAAGCTAAACACACTCTGTTCAGCTACTTATAAGAACAACATCCACTGTGCCAGAACTTGTGTATGTGGAGAGCAAGTAAAGAGTTTCCTTTCAGGCTATACCAATTAATGGATTCTTTCTTAAAATAGGAATGAAAGTAGTATTTAAGAACCGTGTACACTACCATGATAACGTATCTATTGTTCTCCATTGTCTACTAAAATGCATTTAGAATTTAATGACAGAACTTCATCCTAAAGACCTTAGAGAACTTAAGATGATAAGGAAAGTAGGGTTGAATACAGTGTCATAATTAAGTTTTTATATTTCTATTTTCTGTATTACTTTCCTATAAAAACTTGGGGTGTGTATAACATTCATCCCACTGCATACCATATCTGGTAAGAGTCTCAACAAAAACAAGAAGTACTGAAAAGGAATAAAAAATTGGCTCTCTTTTGGTTGATAAGCACATGATGTTGGCTCAGGAACCACAGGTGAATAGGAAGACAAACTGGTTAAAGATAGTATACTGTTGGGGCTTTATCACCACAAAGAGAAGGGGAGAAGAGGGCGAATTTAGAGTTCAAGCTACAGATAGGAAGGGAAGATGAATATTTCACCTATTTCAGCAAAGTGTACTTGCGTGATAAATTTTAGCATACGTTAGTGAAAGGTCTAGTCTAAAATCTGGCACGCCGAGACATGGTAGCTGGTGAAGAAAACATTATGGTCCTATTAGTAATAAGGGATCTGCGGGAGTGTGACTTGTCCTCCCCTTAATGATGGTTATACATACCAAATCTGGTTTTACTCTGTGAGTCAAGGGAAAGGAGACCCACATGGAGTACAGGGTGGTGAGCACCGTGGAGAGCCAGGACTGCTGAACCTCCCGGCTTCTGGGAATGCGGTGAATGTAGTATTCGGGAAGCTAGAAGGAAACAGTAAAAATCCAAATCAACTAGGCCACTGATACCCAAGGTAAACATAGTAACAGTTAAAACTGTTGAAGTTTGGGGAAGTAACCAAACATAGTAATATTTCTGTAGCAAAACATGAATATTCACACTAAGTAGGATAAATAAAGACTGTAAGACTCAAGCCATTTCAGTCAAACTCTCACTCTTTGCAGATGATATGATACTGTATGTGGAAAACCCAAAAGACTCCACCCCAAAACTGCTAGAACTCATACAGGAATTCAGTAAAGTGGCAGGACATAAAATCAATGCACAGAAATCAGT